TCGATCCTCATCCAGCTGAGCCAGCCACAAGGACCTCGGGCTGAACAGTGTCCAGCTCGAGGTGAATGGACAACGTTTAACCTAGCCCACCACGGACGTCGAGCTGGAAGAGATTCAGCTCGACGTTGATCGGTCATCACGATAAGCCCCAGGGGACCTTGAGCTGAACAGTGTCTAGCTCAAGTTCCTTGCAGTTTAACCAACCTCAGACCTCAGGTCAATCCCCAATCATACTGGGCCACAAGGGTATAGCTTCGACCTCGAGCTGAAAGCGATTCAGCTCGAGGTCGATCCCCCCATCATGATGAGCCACGCGGACCTCGAGCTGAATAGCTTTCAGCTCAAGGTCGAATTTCTTCTGAGAATTCCTCCTGAAAGACATACAGGTTATCATGCTGAGCCACATATCCAAACCAAAGCGATAAGCCATACAGGTTCGACCTCGAGCCGAAAGCGTTTCGACCCGAGTTCAATGCGGTCCACAGGCCGGGTTGGTTCGGGCCAACACCATGACCTCGAGCTGAAAACAGTTCGGCTCGAGGTCAATCCTTCATGGCCCAGATCTGCAGGAGACCTCGGGCTGAATCGTCTTCAGCTTGAGGTCGATATCATTTTGAGAAGCCATATCGACCTCGAGTTGAAACCATTTCGACTCGAGGTTGATCCCTCCTTACTATTGACCTCGAGCTGGAAACATTTCAGCTCGAGGTCAATCCCTCATTGCCCAGAGCAGCAGCAGACCTCGAGCTGAATAGTTGTCAGCTTGAGCTCGATTTCCTTTCAACACGCCTTTCAGTTTCGACCTCGAGTTGAAAGCGTTTCAACTCAAGGTCGATGCGGGCCAAGGGCTGGGCTGGGCCGGGCCGGGCCTGATTACACTTCAGCTGCATAAATCCTTACTGGATTGTTCTTCATCTGAACTTGGCATGGGTGTTTTACAAGTAGGAGGGGCTGATGGCCTCCTGGGCCATCATAGAAAGGCTCTCAAAGGCTCTCACAGGATATAGAGAGCTTGGGGGAACTTACTGGGGGGTTCTGTCATACAGAAGCAAAACAATGAAAGAGCTGAGTGAAGCAAGCTGGGGAGGTGATGCTAAAATTGAACAGTACAAGTGTAAATGGAGTAACAGACTTTTTTAAAAGAGTTTCAGCTCAACAGGGGCCAATAAATTACAATGGCAAAGATCAAATCCTCATTTAGTAAAGTAAATATTTATTCAAATTTACATAATCTCAAAAAAATAAAAAGTTAGGGAGACAGACAAGCCAAGCAGCAGAGGGCATGAGACAATTCAATGATGTGTGTGCCCCAGAGGTGCATTACTAGGCCTCTCATGCAACATCCTCAGCTTGAGGCCCCACAATTCATTCAATGGCTGACCTGTTCCAATAGGCCAGCAGGATGCTCTTGTGTTCATAGTGACTATATTGTGCAGCTGAAATCTTATTCCATTCCTTGTTTCTTAATGTGCAATCCCAACATCCCCAAGAAAAGGGCAGGCAATGTTGATTCCCCATCTCATTAACACATATATAAAGCATACAAGATATAAGGTGTAGCTCAACACATAATCAAGACTCCACAACCGATAACCCAAACTGTGTGTTCTTTGGTTTTACAAGTATTGTGTGAAAAGTACATCTTTGTGGTATGGAGGTACTGAACCGCCACTTTGGCCAAAAAAAATTAAAATTAAAATTAAATTAAAATAAAAATAAAAAATGAAATTTGGCCATACAGTCCTCCCATTGATGACCATTTATGACACTGGTCATCAATGGGAGGACAAACTCCCATCCATGGAGGTCAACCCCCCCAAACACCCCCTTGGATGACCGGTTATGACCGGTCATCGATGGGTTTAAACACCCCCAGAGATGACCGGTCAAAACCGGTCATCCAAGGGGGTGTTTGGGGGGGTTGACCTCCATGGATGGGAGTTTGTCCTCCATTGATGACCAGTGTCATAAATGGTCATCAATGGGAGGACTGTATGGGCCAAATTTCATTTTTTATTTTATTTTAATTTAATTTTAATTTTAATTTTTTTTTGGCCAAAGTGGCGGTTCAGTACCTCCATACCACAAAGATGTACTTTTCACACAATACTTGTAAAACCGAAGAACACACAGTTTGGGTTATCGGTTGTTGGAGTCTTGATTATGTGTGGAGCTACACCTTATATCTTGATATGCTTTATAATGTGTAATGAGATGGGGAATCTACATTGCTGCCTTTTCCTTGGGGATGTTGGGATT